ATAACTTGTGAAATTTCGAAAACCTTTTCTTCGGGTCCAGTTTTGGTCTTAACACGACGTTTGGTAACAGTCTTCTTTTTAACTTCGCCCTCTTCATCAGGCTGTTCCACAACTTCTGTGATCTGTTCAATTTCTTCAACCACAACAGGAGTATCTTCTTCAGTAACCTTTACCTTGGATGGTTTCGACCTCTTGGGCTTGGGTTTGCTTTCCTTTATTTGTACATTATCATCTTGAGGTACAATTTCCTGGGGTTCTTCTTCCTTCATGGCAAACTCGAAATTGTCTGGGCGTTCCTTAGACTCCGGTTTCTCTTCTTCAATTATTTCAATGGGTTGCTCGGGCTGTTCCTCTTCTTGGGGCACAATTTCTTCTACATTGAATTCATGTACTGTTACTGGAACTCCATCAATAATTTCCGTTGTCTTTTTGTGGTGTTTTTTAATTGACTTTGGCTTCTTCTTAGGTTTACCTTCCAATTCGGTAACTTCGTACTGTTCCAGTTCTGTTGTTGGTATTTCCCTTTCGATAAGCTCTTGAATGTAGGCGTCATAATCGTCCTGTTTAGTTGGTTTCTTCTTGAATTTCCTGATGTTAACGGGTTCAGTGGGTTTATCCTGAGTGGTTTCTTCGGCCAACAGCTCAGTAGTAATGATTTCAACGTCGGCCTCAGGTTTGTTTTCCACATAGGATTCCACAATTTCGATAAGATATTCCTTGGGTCCTTCCTTCTTTTTGAGCTTCTTTTTGATCACGGTCTGTTTGACTTCCTCGCCACTTTCATCGGTAATTGTTTGTGTGACCGTTTCCGGTTGCAATTCCTCGATGCGCAGTGTGTACTCTTGAATAACTTCTTCAGGTTTCTTGGTCTTTGGTCGTTTGGCTTTGGGTTTTTGTTTTGGTTTGTCTTCTTCGGATACACCAATTGTGAATTCTTCGTTTGGTTGTTCTTCTAGTGGCTGTTCCCCACTTTCGACGAGGGTAACTTCTTCAATCTCCTCTTCCGGTTGTTTGGCCGACGATTCGGTGACTTTAACTTTTTTGGTTTTAGGAGTTTTTGGTTTCTTCTCCTTCTTTTCAGTTTGTTCGTCGGGCTTCTCCTCAGGTATGGTCTGTTCTTCCATGGGCAAATCTTCGACAATGGTCTTCACGGCAAATACAGATTCATCCAAACCTTCAGGTTTCTTCTTTTTCGGTTTGGGTTTTTCTTGCTCTTTAGCCTCATCGGTTTGCAATGATTCGGGTTGTTCGTTGATAATACGCACGAGATATTCATCGAGTTCTTCTTTCTTAATCGTTTTCTTGACCTTTTTAGGTTTCTTGGGAGCTTCCTCTTGTTCGACTTCCCCTTCTGGCTGTTCTGGTACGAATTCCTTGGTTATTACAGTAAGTTCTACCTCGGGTTTGTCATCGGATTGTTCATCAATAACTGTGATTTCATACAACTTATCGCCGACCTTTTTCTTAATCTTGCGCTTAGTTTTGGTCTTTTCTTCGACCTTACCATCTTCTGAAGTCTTGACAATCGTCTCCGACTGTTCGGTAATTTCTTCAACAACAACTTCTTCTGGTAGAGGTTTTTCCTCTTCGGCCTCTTTAAAACCAATTGGAATACGTTCAGTTTCCTCGATCACCTCTTCTTGTTCAACGGGTTGGATGTCGGTGACCTTTACGTAATGCTCATCGTAGGTTTCTTCCGTTTCGGTGACCTCGGTTTTCTCAGTTGCTTTGGGAATACGCTTGGGTTTCTTCTCCTTGGGTTTCTTTTCAACTGGTTCAAATTCAGAAATACCCACTTCATGAGCTTCACCCGTTTCGGGAATTTCCTGTTTGGTCTGCTTCTTGGGCTTCTTCACCTTCTTGGGTGTCTTAGAGAATTCGATTTTTTCAAAGCGCTCCAATTCTGTTTTGGGTATTTCAGCTTCGATCAATTGTTGGATGTATTCATCCAGTTCGTGTTTCTTCATTTTCTTTACTTTCTTCTTGGTCAGAGGGGTTTCTTCACTGGGTTGTTCTTCGGTGGCGGTGGCCTCGCTTGTTGTCACAATAACTTCGTAAACGGGTTCTTCGCCTTCTTCTTGTGGTTGGGTTTCCATAATTTCAATGATTTCCTCTTGATCTCCCTTTTTGTGATGGATTTTGCGTTTGGTTTTAGTTACCTTTTGTTCTACATCGCTGACTACTTCGGTTGGCAACTCCTTGAGTGTTACTTCGTAGCAGGGTTCATCGAATGTCTGATCAACAGGTTGTTCTTGCAATTCCTGTATCAGTTCTTCAATTTCTTGGGGTTTCATTGTCTTGACCTTTTTCTTTTTCTTGATAATAGTTCTCTCCGGCTGTTCTGTGTCTTCGGCCTCCACTGTTGTAATGGTGATTTCGTAGAGCTTTTCATCGGGCTTATCGCTGAGTGGGGTCTCAACAATTTCAATGACATGCTCGGCATCGGAGGTTTTTTGTACGAGTTTGCGTTTCTTTTTGATAACGGGCTTTTTGGTCGTTTCACCATCGACTTGATCTTCGGTAATTGTTTCGGGCTTGTGTTCAATAACCTCTATAACTTCGGGTGTTGATTCCGTCTCAGATTCTGGCTTATCTTCAGATTCTTGCGGAACGAAACGCAGTCCGGTCTCTTGATCGCTTGGTTTCTTTGATTTTTTCTTCTTGGGTTGGCTGGATTCTGCGATTTTGGGTGTATCGGCTGGAGCATCTTCTTCCTCCGGCTTAACGCTAATGGGTTTAAGTACAACCTCTTCGCTGAAGTCTTGTTCGGTCGGTATTTTACCTTTGCCAAGTTTAAGCTTACGCTCTTCAGGTTGTTCAGCCTCTTTTTTAGGCTTCTTGGGGCGTTTATATTTCGTTTGTGGCTGTTCATCTTGAGGTTGAGTGACATCTTCTTCTTCATAACGAGTGGGTTTCTCAAGTTCTTCTTCCTCAATTTCCAAGGGCTCGAATGCTTTGGGACGTTTCTTGATCAGCAATAAGGCCTCTTCGATGTTGCGGGACAGCTCACCACGACCACGTTTGGTATCCAATTCGGTAATGCTGAATTTGAAATTGTACGGGGCATACGGAATGAAATTGATCCAACTCTTGAGCTTTTTGGTCTTGAATGGAACTTTCTCCTTTTTGGGCTTGACCTCGGCCGGTTTCTGTTTGGGTGTTTTGAGTTTGAGCATTTGTGGGAATTCGACCACTGATGTAATTTCAATGGGACGTGATTTTTTGACTTCGACCTTTTCGATCTTCATGGGCACCAGTTTGAGGGGCTTCATCACTGACGAATCGCGACGAGCCTGTTGCGGTTTCTCCAGATCTGTACGTTTGTATTCTTGTAATACCGTCTTGGGTATTTCCTGTTGTATCAGGAATTCGATGTACTCAAACAGATCGTCCTTGTTGACCTTTTTCTTTGTCACTGGAGTCTTCTTTTTCGGTGTCTTCTTTTCTTTTGGTTTTGTCTCTTCTACCTGTCCGTCGGTAACCCTAACCTTATAACTGTCGAGAGTGTCTTCAGTCGTCTTGTCATCTTCCGTAACTACTACTGTAACCTCTTCCTCTTGTCCGGGTTTTTGGGTCGTTATGACCTCAATAATCTGTTCCTGATCGCCAAGTTTTTTCTTGATCTTGCGCTTCTTGACCGTGGTCGTTTTCTCCTCGACACTGTCTGGTGTCTCTTCTACTTCACCACCAGGCATTACAATTTCCACCACCTCCTCGGGCAACAGTTCGATTTCCGGCTGTTCGTCGATAACACCAAATGTCTTGGTGGGTTTCTTGGTTTTTGGTGTCTTTGGTTTGGTGTGGGGTGTTGTTGTTGTTGTCTGTGTTGTGTCTTCGCTAACATCATCTGGTTCGGTAATAGTGTATGGTTTGTTTTCTTGGTCTAATTACAAAGAAACATTGTTTATATTGGATTTGTTTGGGTTTTCATTTTCTGTATGTTTGTATTGATTTGAGTTGTTTTTTTTTTTTATGGTACTCTTCAATAAAAACTATAACTTAATTAGGACAGAGACAAAGTCACATATAATGTTCAATGATTTGGTGGTTGGTTGTATGTTGAACTTCTAACAAGGTTTGGGGGATTTGTGTATATTGTGTATTGTAATTGATAGCATATTTTTAGGCGCTTGTGGTTTTGTGTATATTGTGTCATTTTGTATTAACTGACATTTAGAGTGAGTATTTTCAAAGAGTAATAAAGGCGCGTTTAGACTAGCCTGTATTTAAATCAAAAAAGCAAGACTTCTCCTCCTTAAGGAATGTTTTTTTGTTTTTACTTTATAATGAATGTTATTATAATTTAAAACAATAAATGCCAAAGCCATAGTCTAAACGCGCCTTAAATTCAGTTCATATGTTTGAGGTTAGGTTAGTACATCAAATACTACACGGGATTAGTTTTACGGTTCGAGAGGGTGAGGAAATGTTGGATTCCTTTTAAAAGAACACAAACTGTCATAATTGTTTGTTTCTCATATTAAAAAAAGAAAACGCGAAAAGGCTTATCAATTATTTTCTTTTTTCCAGTTCTCAAGTGAACATTTTTAGATATATATTTTTTTTGGTTTACATAATTCAGATTTACTGACATATCGGAGCTATGGATGTTGAATATCTAAAATTATTTCACTCGATGATGGATATTATGTAATTAGTACTTTTCGATAAATTAACTTAAAAACATGGATATATTATGTGAATTTGTTTTCGGAATGTTTGTCATTCGTATATAAGGAATGCATTTGAATTGGATAAATGGATAACTTTGTTGTGTGGAATGTCATTGAGTTGTTCGATAAAAATGTACAAGGACTGGTGTTGTAGAAGAATTGAACCTGTTTATCGTTGCTTATTGTAGTGGTTTCCTACTTGCCAAAGGGTTTTGGCCTCTTGTCGTTGTTGTATTGTCGGTATAATATAAATACATATATATATATATAGTTTTTAAATATATATACACATAATAATAACACTATTAATAATAAAAATAAATATACCTGTTACATCGCTGACTTCGACAATTTCGATTTGTGATGGCGTTGTTTCGTCATGTTCTTTTGTCGGTTCTGTATCACTGAGCACTTCTTCAACGAGTACTCCCTCCTCTTGGGTAACCTTCTTACTTTCGGTCTCAATGACAGTTTCACCGTCTTCGTTCTGTACTGATTTGAAAGTGGTTATGAATACGGGTTTTTCATCCGTAGTCTTTTGTTGTTGTGGTATCGGCTTAACTTCTGTTTGTTGTATTTGTGTTGCAGGTGTTTATGTGTTGTTGTTGTTGTGGTCCAGATGTATGGAAAATAGACATAAAATGTTAGCAAAGTTGTGTTCGTTTCGGGCGTACAGATAAACAATTAGCGCGGTATATAATTTCAGAAACACTTTTTTATCTGCGAGAATGTGTATGAGTAAGCAACTGAGCAAGCTAATACGTGAGTAAATGATAACTTATGTTTGTGTATTTGGGTGTGAATGTGTGTGTGTGTGTATAGTGTCAGTGTGAGTGCATATATATATTGATTGTGGTTATTGTGTTGTGTGTAATTTGTGTTTTTCTTACCCTTGGGCTTCTTTGACTTCGGCATTTTCGTTTCGGTCTTTGGAGTCTTTTCATCATCCAAAAGACTGATATCGATAATGTCGTGAAGGTCACCTTCGCTTACAACCTGTATTAAGGAGTAGGGCTCTTTGCCTTCCTCCTCGACGGTTTGGATTTGATAGTATTCGGGTTCGGGCGAGATATCCTTCTTGAATGTGCGTTTTCGGGTCGTTTTCTTTTTGGGCTTATCGTCCTCATCGACAGTGTGCGACTCAATTATTTCTTCTGGCAGCTCTTCAATCGGAATGGATTCGGCTGGCAATTCGTCGGATGGTATCTGTTTAATATCGACGGTGGCAACAGGTATGTCGTTGTTTTCGTCCTCTACAAATTGTATTGTTGTCAGTTCGTCTGTCTCATTGTCTACGGGTTTCTTGAAAGATCTGGTCTTTACGGTTTTCTTCTTCTTTTGGCCATCAGAAGTTTCGGTTTCCAAAACGGTTTCTAGTTTTGGCAATTCCAACGATTCAATTGCATTATCGTCTGGAACCTGGGCCTTTTCTACTTCTTTTACAGTCACAATGTATTTCGGTTCTTCTCCTTCGTCTTCGATGATTTGAATTTCCGTTATTTCATCTTTGTCGACAAGCGGCTTCTTAATAGTTTTCTTTTTGATTTTACGAGTTTTGGTTGTGCCATCTTTATCAGTGTAGTCCTCGGTAATAGTTTCCTCAGGCAATTGCAAGACGGGTTCGACCTTTTCTTCCTCCAACTCTGGGAGTGGTCCAGTAAAATCTTCGACAGTGACGGTGGTAACCGGTTCCTTTTCATATTCCTCAACAGTTTTTATTTTCGTAATTTCCATTTTGTCACCCTTTATCTTCTTGATCACCTTAGTTTTCACAACAGTCTTAGTTGGAGTGCCGTCTTCCTTTTGAGACATACACGAACTTCTTCTGGAAGTTCCTTGATATCTTGAGGTTTATCTTCCACAGGAACTTCTTCAACAGTGACTGTGGTTTCGGGTTGTTTGTCATCTTCTTCGACGGTTTCGATCTTGGTGACTTCTTGTTTATCACCCTTAACCTTCTTGATCACACGAGTGCGGATCTTCTTCTTCTTAGGTTTGCCATCTTCAGAAACTGTCTCAACGACACGAACTTCTTCAGGAAGTTCCTGGATTTCTTGTGGTTTCTCTTCCACAGGAACTTCTTCAACAGTGACTGTGGTTTCGGGTTGTTTGTCATCTTCTTCGACGGTTTCGATCTTGGTGACTTCTTGTTTATCACCCTTAACCTTCTTGATCACACGAGTGCGGATCTTCGTCTTCTTAGGTTTGCCATCTTCGGAAACTGTCTCGACGACACGAACTTCTTCAGGAAGTTCCTGGATTTCTTGTGATTTCTCTTCCACTTCAACCTCTTCAACAGTGACTGTGGTTTCGGGTTGTTTGTCATCTTCTTCGACGGTTTCGATCTTGGTGACTTCTTGTTTATCACCCTTGACCTTCTTGATCACACGAGTGCGGATCTTCTTCTTCTTAGGTTTGCCATCTTCGGAAACTGTTTCGACGACGCGAACTTCTTCAGGAAGTTCCTGGATTTCTTGTGGTTTCTCTTCCACAGGAACTTCTTCAACAGTGACTGTGGTTTCGGGTTGTTTGTCATCTTCTTCGACGGTTTCGATCTTGGTGAGTTCTTGTTTATCACCCTTGACCTTCTTGATTACACGAGTGCGGATCTTCGTCTTTTTAGGTTTGCCATCTTCAGAAACTGTCTCGACGACACGAACTTCTTCAGGAAGTTCCTGGATTTCTTGTGGTTTCTCTTCCACAGGAACTTCTTCAACAGTGACTGTGGTTTCGGGTTGTTTGTCATCTTCTTCGACGGTTTCGATCTTGGTGACTTCTTGTTTATCACCCTTAACCTTCTTGATCACACGAGTGCGGATCTTCGTCTTCTTAGGTTTGCCATCTTCAGAAACTGTCTCAACGACACGAACTTCTTCAGGAAGTTCCTGGATTTCTTGTGGTTTCTCTTCCACAGGAACTTCTTCAACAGTGACTGTGGTTTCGGGTTGTTTGTCATCTTCTTCGACGGTTTCGATCTTGGTGACTTCTTGTTTATCACCCTTGACCTTCTTGATCACACGAGTGCGGATCTTCTTCTTCTTAGGTTTGCCATCTTCGGAAACTGTCTCGACGACACGAACTTCTTCAGGAAGTTCCTGGATTTCTTGTGGTTTCTCTTCCACTTCAACCTCTTCAACAGTGACTGTGGTTTCGGGTTGTTTGTCATCTTCTTCGACGGTTTCGATCTTGGTGACTTCTTGTTTATCACCCTTAACCTTCTTGATCACACGAGTGCGGATCTTCGTCTTCTTAGGTTTACCATCTTCGGAAACTGTCTCGACGACACGAACTTCTTCAGGAAGTTCCTGGATTTCTTGTGGTTTCTCTTCCACTTCAACCTCTTCAACAGTGACTGTGGTTTCGGGTTGTTTGTCATCTTCTTCGACGGTTTCGATCTTGGTGACTTCTTGTTTATCACCCTTAACCTTCTTGATCACACGAGTGCGGATCTTCGTCTTCTTAGGTTTGCCATCTTCGGAAACAGTCTCAACGACACGAACTTCTTCAGGAAGTTCCTGGATTTCTTGTGGTTTCTCTTCCACAGGAACTTCTTCAACAGTGACTGTGGTTTCGGGTTGTTTGTCATCTTCTTCGACGGTTTCGATCTTGGTGACTTCTTGTTTATCACCCTTGACCTTCTTGATCACACGAGTGCGGATCTTCGTCTTTTTAGGTTTGCCATCTTCAGAAACTGTCTCGACGACACGAACTTCTTCAGGAAGTTCCTGGATTTCTTGTGGTTTCTCTTCCACTTCAAACTCTTCAACAGTGACTGTGGTTTCGGGTTGTTTGTCATCTTCTTCGACGGTTTCGATCTTGGTGACTTCTTGTTTATCACCCTTAACCTTCTTGATCACACGAGTGCGGATCTTCTTCTTCTTAGGTTTGCCATCTTCGGAAACTGTCTCAACGACACGAACTTCTTCAGGAAGTTCCTGGATTTCTTGTGGTTTCTCTTCCACAGGAACTTCTTCAACAGTGACTGTGGTTTCGGGTTGTTTGTCATCTTCTTCGACGGTTTCGATCTTGGTGACTTCTTGTTTATCACCCTTGACCTTCTTGATCACACGAGTGCGGATCTTCTTCTTCTTAGGTTTGCCATCTTCGGAAACTGTCTCAACGACACGAACTTCTTCAGGAAGTTCCTGGATTTCTTGTGGTTTCTCTTCCACAGGAACTTCTTCAACAGTGACTGTGGTTTCGGGTTGTTTGTCATCTTCTTCGACGGTTTCGATCTTGGTGACTTCTTGTTTATCACCCTTGACCTTCTTGATCACACGAGTGCGGATCTTCTTCTTCTTAGGTTTGCCATCTTCGGAAACTGTCTCGACGACACGAACTTCTTCAGGAAGTTCCTGGATTTCTTGTGGTTTCTCTTCCACAGGAACTTCTTCAACAGTGACTGTGGTTTCGGGTTGTTTGTCATCTTCTTCGACGGTTTCGATCTTGGTGACTTCTTGTTTATCACCCTTAACCTTCTTGATCACACGAGTGCGGATCTTCTTCTTCTTAGGTTTGCCATCTTCGGAAACTGTCTCAACGACACGAACTTCTTCAGGAAGTTCCTGGATTTCTTGTGGTTTCTCTTCCACAGGAACTTCTTCAACAGTGACTGTGGTTTCGGGTTGTTTGTCATCTTCTTCGACGGTTTCGATCTTGGTGACTTCTTGTTTATCACCCTTGACCTTCTTGATCACACGAGTGCGGATCTTCTTCTTCTTAGGTTTGCCATCTTCGGAAACTGTCTCGACGACACGAACTTCTTCAGGAAGTTCCTGGATTTCTTGTGGTTTCTCTTCCACAGGAACTTCTTCAACAGTGACTGTGGTTTCGGGTTGTTTGTCATCTTCTTCGACGGTTTCGATCTTGGTGACTTCTTGTTTATCACCCTTGACCTTCTTGATCACACGAGTGCGGATCTTCTTCTTCTTAGGTTTGCCATCTTCGGAAACTGTCTCGACGACACGAACTTCTTCAGGAAGTTCCTGGATTTCTTGTGGTTTCTCTTCCACAGGAACTTCTTCAACAGTGACTGTGGTTTCGGGTTGTTTGTCATCTTCTTCGACGGTTTCGATCTTGGTGACTTCTTGTTTATCACCCTTGACCTTCTTGATCACACGAGTGCGGATCTTCTTCTTCTTAGGTTTGCCATCTTCGGAAACTGTCTCGACGACACGAACTTCTTCAGGAAGTTCCTGGATTTCTTGTGGTTTCTCTTCCACAGGAACTTCTTCAACAGTGACTGTGGTTTCGGGTTGTTTGTCATCTTCTTCGACGGTTTCGATCTTGGTGACTTCTTGTTTATCACCCTTGACCTTCTTGATCACACGAGTGCGGATCTTCTTCTTCTTAGGTTTGCCATCTTCGGAAACTGTCTCGACGACACGAACTTCTTCAGGAAGTTCCTGGATTTCTTGTGGTTTCTCTTCCACAGGAACTTCTTCAACAGTGACTGTGGTTTCGGGTTGTTTGTCATCTTCTTCGACGGTTTCGATCTTGGTGACTTCTTGTTTATCACCCTTGACCTTCTTGATCACACGAGTGCGGATCTTCTTCTTCTTAGGTTTGCCATCTTCGGAAACTGTCTCGACGACGCGAACTTCTTCAGGAAGTTCCTGGATTTCTTGTGGTTTCTCTTCCACAGGAACTTCTTCAACAGTGACTGTGGTTTCGGGTTGTTTGTCATCTTCTTCGACGGTTTCGATCTTGGTGACTTCTTGTTTATCACCCTTGACCTTCTTGATCACACGAGTGCGGATCTTCTTCTTCTTAGGTTTGCCATCTTCGGAAACTGTCTCGACGACACGAACTTCTTCAGGAAGTTCCTGGATTTCTTGTGGTTTCTCTTCCACAGGAACTTCTTCAACAGTGACTGTGGTTTCGGGTTGTTTGTCATCTTCTTCGACGGTTTCGATCTTGGTGACTTCTTGTTTATCACCCTTGACCTTCTTGATCACACGAGTGCGGATCTTCTTCTTCTTAGGTTTGCCATCTTCGGAAACTGTCTCGACGACACGAACTTCTTCAGGAAGTTCCTGGATTTCTTGTGGTTTCTCTTCCACAGGAACTTCTTCAACAGTGACTGTGGTTTCGGGTTGTTTGTCATCTTCTTCGACGGTTTCGATCTTGGTGACTTCTTGTTTATCACCCTTGACCTTCTTGATCACACGAGTGCGGATCTTCTTCTTCTTAGGTTTGCCATCTTCGGAAACTGTCTCGACGACACGAACTTCTTCAGGAAGTTCCTGGATTTCTTGTGGTTTCTCTTCCACAGGAACTTCTTCAACAGTGACTGTGGTTTCGGGTTGTTTGTCATCTTCTTCGACGGTTTCGATCTTGGTGACTTCTTGTTTATCACCCTTGACCTTCTTGATCACACGAGTGCGGATCTTCTTCTTCTTAGGTTTGCCATCTTCGGAAACTGTCTCGACGACACGAACTTCTTCAGGAAGTTCCTGGATTTCTTGTGGTTTCTCTTCCACAGGAACTTCTTCAACAGTGACTGTGGTTTCGGGTTGTTTGTCATCTTCTTCGACGGTTTCGATCTTGGTGACTTCTTGTTTATCACCCTTGACCTTCTTGATCACACGAGTGCGGATCTTCTTCTTCTTAGGTTTGCCATCTTCGGAAACTGTCTCGACGACACGAACTTCTTCAGGAAGTTCCTGGATTTCTTGTGGTTTCTCTTCCACAGGAACTTCTTCAACAGTGACTGTGGTTTCGGGTTGTTTGTCATCTTCTTCGACGGTTTCGATCTTGGTGACTTCTTGTTTATCACCCTTGACCTTCTTGATCACACGAGTGCGGATCTTCTTCTTCTTAGGTTTGCCATCTTCGGAAACTGTCTCGACGACGCGAACTTCTTCAGGAAGTTCCTGGATTTCTTGTGGTTTCTCTTCCACAGGAACTTCTTCAACAGTGACTGTGGTTTCGGGTTGTTTGTCATCTTCTTCGACGGTTTCGATCTTGGTGACTTCTTGTTTATCACCCTTGACCTTCTTGATCACACGAGTGCGGATCTTCTTCTTCTTAGGTTTGCCATCTTCGGAAACTGTCTCGACGACGCGAACTTCTTCAGGAAGTTCCTGGATTTCTTGTGGTTTCTCTTCCACAGGAACTTCTTCAACAGTGACTGTGGTTTCGGGTTGTTTGTCATCTTCTTCGACGGTTTCGATCTTGGTGACTTCTTGTTTATCACCCTTGACCTTCTTGATCACACGAGTGCGGATCTTCTTCTTCTTAGGTTTGCCATCTTCGGAAACTGTCTCGACGACGCGAACTTCTTCAGGAAGTTCCTGGATTTCTTGTGGTTTCTCTTCCACAGGAACTTCTTCAACAGTGACTGTGGTTTCGGGTTGTTTGTCATCTTCTTCGACGGTTTCGATCTTGGTGACTTCTTGTTTATCACCCTTGACCTTCTTGATCACACGAGTGCGGATCTTCTTCTTCTTAGGTTTGCCATCTTCGGAAACTGTCTCGACGACGCGAACTTCTTCAGGAAGTTCCTGGATTTCTTGTGGTTTCTCTTCCACAGGAACTTCTTCAACAGTGACTGTGGTTTCGGGTTGTTTGTCATCTTCTTCGACGGTTTCGATCTTGGTGACTTCTTGTTTATCACCCTTGACCTTCTTGATCACACGAGTGCGGATCTTCTTCTTCTTAGGTTTGCCATCTTCAGATATTGACTCAACGACACGAATTTCTTCAGGCATTTCTGTTACCAGATCCTCCGTTGTATCTACATCGGTTTCTTGTACCGTAACTGTGGTCTCTGTCGGTTTATTGTCTTCTTCGACTGTTTCAATCTTAGTCAGTTCCTGTTTGCCACCTCTGACCTTCTTAATGATGCGCGTACGAATCTTCCTCTTACGGGGTTTGCCGTCTTCCGATACTGTCTCTACTTCGTGTATTTCTTCGGGAAGTTCTGTTATTTGTTCTTGTGATTTTTCTTGTGTTTCTGTGTGTTCGGATGGTGTGTGTTGGGATGTTTGTGTTGTATCTGTATAATAGAATGTTAGGAGGGTTAGTATGGTTATCAGTTGTTTGTGTTGTTGTTGTTTTATTAATTGTGTATTATGTGTTTTTGTTGTTGTTGTTCTGGGTTTCGAATTGTGGAGGGTCTTGAAAAGTATTACGCCATGTTTCTATTACGCTCTATGTTGTCTAAGTGCTAGATACTTACCGGAAAGTTCAGTTACCGTGTAAGGTGTTATAGGAGGTTTGGTCGATGACGAATCGACATCGTCGTGTGACTCTGTAATTTCTGTGATTGGATGAGATTGTATTGTATCTGCTGTGAGATATTCTGAAAAGTTTACAATGTTAACAACGGTATTTGCTAAGGGCTTCTCTGCGACTCTGGCAGTGGAAGTGTGAACAGTGTTGGTGATTGCGGATTGTAAATGGTGATCGGGCTCAGTGTCAGCAGTAAGAGTTTTGCTTTGAGGAAATTTGCTTTCGTGAAGCTGTTGTTCTTTTTCCAGCATCTGCTGGGAAGAGAGTTCGTGTAGTGGTTGTGTGGGTTCAAAGGTGGTATGGGCCGTGTGTGTTGCCATTTTCAGTTGTTCTGAAATGGGAGTTAATGTGTCAGCGGGAATGAGTGTGGTGCTGAGAGCTGTAGCGTGAGGCTCATGCCTTCCCTTTGTGGGTTCTGTGATTTGGAATTCAGGTGTTAGAATTGATTCTGTATGTTCGTAGGTGTTCACAGTGCTTGTGCTATATGTATGATTGGGTGTAGTTGGGGTAGCTTCGACTTCCAGCGTCTTTGGCGCTTGTGGTGTTTCGAGCGTGTGTGTGCTTTCTGTGGGAATCGTTTCGGTTTCTTTGAGATACATACTTTGTGTTTGAATGCTTGCGAGTGGCTGCTGTTCTGAGGGCTTTTCCAATATCATCTTAGATACATCCTGAGCGGTTGTAATGTCTGTGGTAGTTGCCAAGTGGTGTGTGGTCTCTGCCAATGCGATGTGAGCTTGGTGTGTTGTGGTGTCGCCTGTCCCGCGCAATTTGTGTGTACTTTCAAATGTGGTAACAGTGTGGGTACTTATATTTTCCTGGAGTTGATGTGTTTCGAGTGGTTTGGTATGACTCTTTTGGGGAATTTGCTGTGGTAGTGAACCAATGCCGGTATCAGTTACGACTTCTTCAGTAATGCTGGCCTTTAATTCCGGCAAAGCAATGGATGCAATGGTCTCTTCGGTTTTAGGTCTAAAGTCACCACTTTCGTCGCCAAAACTATCGTAAACTTGAACGGTGGAGGTTTGTAGCAAATGTTGGTTTTCGGAATCGATGGCAAGGGCCTTTTCGTAGTTATAGGGCACTGCTTCTAGGTTCGGTGTATCTTCATAGGTGGTGGTGGCTTCAACGGTCTGAGCTTGAAATTTGCTAGTATCCTCGACTACGTTGGGATACACTTCCGGTAGCCTTTTCAAATCGTATGATTCAGTTATGGAAATGATGCCGATATTTTCTTCAGCTATCAAAGCTTTGAAATCGTCCTGAACCACAATCGCATTTTCCTTGCCCAGTTGGAAAGGCTCTACTTTGGATTCTTTGGTGAACACTTGTTCAGTCGACACTTGCGGTATTTGTTGCGTGCTTTCGTTTGTGGAAATGAGAGCTTTTTGTTCACCCACTTTGGGAATGTCTTTGAGTGGTGCCGTTCCTTCATAGGTTAAAACTTCGGATATGGTTTTTTCTAATTGTGGTGGTGTTCTTGTGACACCTAAGACCTGTTCACCTTTTGGCATTTCCAAAGGCATTGAAGATTCCCTTTCCAAAGTCGTTGTTGAGCTTATCGTTTGTATCTTGGTGGTAGCGTCCGTAAATATAGTTTGGGCCTTATAGTCCGGGACATGTGCGTCTTCCAACTTTTCAACTTCTTCCAAAGTCTTAATTTCTTCTATTACTAATTCGTCCTTTGTCGTTTGAAGCTGAGGCTTAGCACGTAACATTTCTCCTTGGAACGGCCGTAGTTCAGTTTCTCTGTCCATAGCGGTGTCAAGTTGTTGCATTAGTGAATGTTGCACCACATCCTCGCTGAGTGTCTTTGCCACGTTGGTTGACGCTTGAGGAATTTCAAAGCTCGTTGCCCCTTCAAAGGTCATATGTTTGCTGGTTATGGTTTCCTGGAACATACCTTCAATAAATGCCTTTGGTTTCTCTTGGCTCGGTGCAAAATCTTTAATTTCGAACTCTTTTTGTAGTGCGTCCTGCAAGGTCTCAATGTGTGTGGTTCTGAAGTGTTCCTGCATAGTTAGATTAGCCTGCCCGGTAGTCTCTTTAGATTCACTTAATTGTCCCGACCTTTCCAAACATATGGTTTCAGTTATCATGAGTTCTTTTTGTGATCCCTCCATATTCGAGGTAGCTGTAGCAGGCTTTTGTTCCATTGCAGCTGTATCATGAGTGGTCTCTTGGGTCCTTACCTCTTCCACAAGTGGCAAAGTAAGCTGTTGAATAGGCGACATTTTAGATGCGGTTAAAGGAGCTGATTTGTCAGCATCCAAGATTCCTTCTAATTCTGCGGTCTGATTGGCGTCTATTATGACAGCCTGATCGAAGACATGTTGAATTTTTGCCTTCGAGGTTTGTGGTAATGGGACGTCGGCTACGTCACCGAGGCTTTCAAGGATGTCTGTTTTGTTCACCATGCCCAGTACCAGAGAACGTTCGTCACTTGCGGGCTTGGCTTGGTGTTTTTCTTTGTCCATTTCCTTCATCTCTGTAAGGCTTTCCATTATTTTAGGTTTGGATGACAATGGTAAATTATATGCCTCCGTTATTGAAGATTTAGCCAATTTCTCCGTTCCAAGTGTGCTCTTGTCCATGGTTTGCTCATGTTCCATAATTAAAGCCCTAGTTTCTTCCAAAGCATACATCCGACTATCATGTAGTCCAGTTGTCAAGAACTCTTCTTTTAGCCTGCGATCTTGTTCTTTGGTCGTGATACTTTCCAGTACCAATGGTTGTTCGGTTGTGGTTTCGGTCAAAATATCACTGCTTAAGTTGGCTTCCACAGCAGATGCTTTGAATTCCTCCAAAGCTGTGGTGGAATCCTGCTGCTGTACTCCTTCTTTGAGTGGTAACTTCAGATGGATGTCATGTGTGACCAGCTTGGCTGAATCCGGACTACTGTCTGTGACCTTGTAGTCGGCAGATGTTTCCATAAGTTGTTCTTTCTGGGCAATGGCCAAGAGTGGCTGGGTTGTGTGAACCACTTGGACCTCTTGGGGTTTGTTCAAATCCATGATATCTAAATCTTGTTCTCTGTCATATAGATCTACAGATTTGACCGAAATTTCTTGCAGCATATCAACATCAATGCGTTGACCTTTGGCTTCCAATGACGGTATACCTTCAAATTTAGCTGGAACTTCTAATAATAGTTGCTTCTGCACTTGAATGGATTTCAATAGTTCAGAACTTAGTTTTGTGTCCGCCAAGGTTTCCTGTGGCATTTTAATATCAGCCTGTATCACTTCTTTGTCGCTGACATTAACTTCGCTTACTCCTAAGGCGGAGCGATATTCCTGCATTGAAGTATTAGCTATTGAAATGGATGTTGGAAGGGCACTATGATCATAGGTAGCTACAGATTCCAAATCTTGCGTTTCACTACTCAGAGCCGGTATAAACTCTCGATCCAAAGTTCTTAAGGCCTTTTGCTCCTTCAGTTCATTTTGGATAAGTGTTTGAGATTGTTCCACAGTTTCCGATGTAAATGTTTCGGCAATTTGCAAAACAGTTGTGGCGCCCAAGGTTGCCTCCTTAGCCGTGGGTTGTTCCTGTACATCAAAAATACCTTCTTTGTCGTGCACTGGTATTTCCATTGCCTCAATGGAATGTGCTACCTCCATGTTGTCCTGCGTTTGTTGCATTTCAGGCTTCTTTATAATGGGCAGGTGGCCGGGTAAATCCATTACCGTTTGCTGTGTTTCTTGAACAGCATGTTGATGCGCAAGGTACTGCGTTGCGGTAGGTTTCTCATATTCTATTTTAACATGGGAATCTTCAGAAGTTTCCAAAACCATTGATTCCATGGTTTGCAAATATTTCAATTTTTGTTCGTCTTGTCGCTCGGAAGCCTGATGCGTCTGTGGTGTCTCCAGTTCTGGTTGTCCAGATAAGCTCTCAGAAGTATATATCTCGGAAATTTCTAAATTCACGGAACTATCGGCGATGCTGGGTTTGATTTTGATTTCTTTAGCTTTATCAATAGCTGGCATAGCGGTATCGGATTCCAGCAAAATTGTGGCATAAGTAAGACTGGCATGAGTGGCATCCACTTGAGCGTGGGCCTTTAATGGTTCGACTGCTTGGCTATCGAGAGGTTTCGTTGTCATTTCAGTTTGTATTTGTTCCACATTGGGTGCTTTCAATTCCTTTCGGATGGACTGTTCTCCGGCCTTTTGAAGTTCTGGCTGTTCGAAGGGTTTCAGAGCATTTTCTCTTTCGACCATTTGTTGGTCTGAAACGGTTAAGGCAATGAGATTTTCTGTCACAGAGGTTTCAGTTAGGCTAGCCATTTTTGGTTTTGCACTTTCCAGTGCTGCTTCTTTTTCTTGGATTAACACTTGGCCCACATCGGCCACAATTGTGGTGCCGTCGACATTAGGTTTTACTTTTTGTGAAGTGGGTAAACCAAAAGCCTGCTCCGTGACAGAGTCCAAAATTTGCTCATGTTGGGTTTGAGCGACTGCTGTGAGGGCTGCGTTTAATGTTTGTCTGGGGGCAGATTTAGTTTCCACTTCGGGCACGTGTAATTCTTGACTAGATTCGTTTGTAAGAGTGGTGGTAACTTCATGACTTACCAAATGGGGAACTTCACCCAGCAATTCTGCCCTTGAGGATTGGGTCTGAGGTATTGCAAGGTCTTGGGGTTTGGCTTCTTCGACAAATTCCTCTTTGCCCGTTAGATGTGTAAGTTCTTGAAGTTGCACCTCAGCCTGCTTTCCTTTGTCTGTGGGAAATGTAGCGTTCAATTCCATCAAAGGACTTTGT